ATTTTTTTGCTCTTGTATCTTTGTTGTTATTCTGTACTTGGATTAGTTCTTCTGTTTGTATTTCTATAGAAGTTTCTGATATTGCTGACATTGTCAGCAACAGTTTGTCGAAGAGCAAAGGTATGATAAGAGTCTTGTAGTAACTTCTCTTAATCTTATTTGTTTTGTAAATAGGTTGTAGTGTACTATATATTTGTATATTGCATTTTTAATTATTTAATTATTTAGTTTTAGTATTTTTTGAACTTATTTTGTAGTTAATAAATTTTTTTTTATTGTTTTGAGATCTGTGGGAAAGAGTTTTATCTAAATTTGTAATTCTTTAAAAGTTTTATCAAATTACTTTAAGAATTATATTTTTAAAACTTAAATTTAAAGAAGTTCATCTAAAAATATTAATAAAATTAGCTATTTTTAACTTATATATAATACAAAATTTTTATCTTATAATATAAAAATAGAATTTTGTTAAATATTGTAAGTTGTGATATCACAGTTTAATATAACTAACTAATTAGATTACAGGATTTTGTGTAACAAAAATGAATAAAAATTTAAAAAAAATTAAAAATTTTAAATATCTTAAAATTTTATTATATAAATTAGTCTTAGGCTTTTAATTAAAAGTTTTTAACTCTTAATTTTACATATATATATGCTCTTTAACTCTAATCCTAATACTAGCTTGAACTTTAATCTTAACTAATCTAAATTTTTATATAAAAATTTTTATTTAATAATTTTAAATTTTTAAAAAAGTAGATTATTACTATATTTGAACTAATAAGCAAACAAATTTGTCTACTATAACTTACAGATTAAAGGATAAAAATCATCATATAATAAACCTAATAATAATTATATGAGTTTAATTTGATGTTAAATTGCAAATCCAGTTTGATCCGATTCTAGAATCTAAAAAAACATTCCTGAACTCGATCTTTTAAATCACATGAAAATACAATACATTTTATAGGACTTAGATCCTATATCATATTCTAAATTGAATAAATTAATTTTATATTGTTATAATAATTCAATTCAGGATCCAAGTTCTATAAAATGTATTGTGTTTTTATGTGATTTAAGAACTAAGTCCTTACTAATCCTGCAGATCCTTGTAAGGACCAGTTAGGATTCAGTTCCAAAAGTATCTCTATTGATAATCACCCTAATGTCTCGTATTCAAAATCTACGTTCATTCATTGGCTAATCAATCTGTTGTTGTCACACAGAAAAATTTGCTTATAAAAACGTAAATCTTCGAAAAACGTAAACACAACAAATCTTTGCCTTGAGAATAGAACATAGTTTCATTAGGCCATTTTCGAGTACAAATTTTTGTCTTGAAAATAGAACGTAGTCCCATTAGGCTATTTTCAAAACAAATTTTTGTCTTGAGAATGGGACATAGTCTATTTTCAAGGAAAAGGTTTCATTTTTTACCAGGTTTTTTGTAATAAAAACCGGCAACTTCTTGGTGGTTTATTGGCTTTATTAGTGCAAAGAACCACACCTCAAATAAATGTAGCGTGAGGTTGATCTGTTTACCATTGATTCGCTATCAGATGCTGAAAAATACGAATCACTTTATCAGTGGTTTTATATTTTGTTCCATCGATATCGTATTTATCGTTTCGAGACATTTCTCTAAATAAATGTCAGGAAAAAAACGTAAAAGAACTCAGCTCGGCTGAGTGGTCACTTTAGGCCACAATGATGCAATATGTCTATGATAATAAAGTGTATTTAATCTGAGACATAAAGTTTTTTTTTCTTATTTACAAATTATTACATACGCTAGTATCGTGGGTGGAAATATCACCAACCAACAACACAAATATAACGTTAACTAGGTGATTAAGGCTTTCTAGGCTGAAGCGTACGATTTGGTCGAATAAGATATGTTCTCTTTATTGCTTACCTTTATAACTCTTAAATTATTATCCCTTTAGTTCTGCAGGAGTTCTCCAACTAATGAAGACTCGGGGTTAATAACGCCACGTGCAATCGCAGGTTTCTTGGTTAGAACTTTATTAATATACTGTATTTGGATTTATTCAAAACCCGAAGGTTTAAAACCCGCAGGTTGTTGTTACAAAGGGCAAATGGAAGAGCTTTTATAACTTTCGTCCATTTACAAATTTTACAGAATTTACATTATTTACATTTTTCATTTATATCTTTTACAGATTTTATGAACTTCACGATATTTACGTTTTTACAATATTTATAATTTTGCCAATAGTAATAATCGTTGACCTTTGTCAAAACTCCCTGTGACACTAGTAAGTCTAAAGATTAATTAATTAACTAATTAACAAACCAGCCAGTTTTGAAAAAAAAAAAAAATAGACAGAGCAAGTCGTAAAGTCGGCTTAAACGGTTTTTTAGTTTCGGCCTGGATCTCTTACAGTAAATACATTATTATATAAAATTTAAAAAATTCTGATTAGATTACACTAATCACATGCAGGAAGTACTTTAAACAATGGAATGCGAGATTTAATAGATCCAATAAGATCCAGTCAAAACGACTAAGAATCTATTTTTAGACTTATTACTTTTAAACTTTAGTGTAATGTTATAGATCTATTAATAAATGCGTGGTTGTATTTTCATTAAATAATTTTATATTATACAAGTTACAAATAACATAATTAAAAAAATAAAAAACTATATATATACTACACATTAAATTAAGAACATTAATGTTTATGAAAACAATTATTACAATTGTCCTTTTTAAACACATTAGGTGAAAAATCATCACAGCCACATTCTGCGCATGGTTCAACATCGTTATTAGAAGCTTTATTTTTTCCAAAAAATTCTTGAGGGATATATGAATTTCTTGATGTACTGGTATTTGGTGGGGTGGTAGTCCGGGGAATATTGGCCGCATTTGATGTATAATCAGTTGTTTTTTGGCGAATTGTAGAACTGCGAGACGGTGGAGGTTTTGAAGTACGTGATGGAACAGGTGGTATTCCAGTAGAAACGCCTGAACGCGTTGAAGACGATCTTGAAGACGTTTTGCTAGGAGGCACACTGTAGTAATTATTACGCGATGAGCTTTTCTTCTGTAGAGGTTCTTCATCATTGTCTTCAAGCTGATTAGGTTCTTCATATATTTGTTCATCGTTTTGATAATCATCATCTTCATTTGATGATTTCCTAATTAAATTCGGCACTCTACGCGCGGAAGCAGATGATTTTGCAGGTAATTCTTCGGTATAATTCGCAGGAAACATGCCACTCCGACGAGTACCATCGTCATCAATAATTTCACCAATCCACCAACCTTCGTGTTCTTCCAAAACGGTGATAATATCACCTTCCTCTATCGCAAGTTCGCCTTCACCATCACCTTCATAGCTATATATAGCTTTTACCTGTTTCTTTGAACCACCTTATATAAAAATAAGAAATAAATATAATTAGAATAAAATAAAGATAATGCATTAATAATTAAAACTCGCTCACTTGTTTTTCGAGCAGGAGACTGTCTATCTCCTGAATCGAAAGATTTAACCGAAGATCCTGACGACTTATTACGAGTTGATGCATTGGGAACGCTAAGATTTTTATTATCTTTTTTAGAATTAATATTTTTATTATTTGTAGCTCTTCTAGCGATTGATCGAGATTCTCTGGAGCGGTTATAACTCGAATGAGAACTTTCGCTGTCAGAATTTTGATCATCATCCTCATCAGATTGAGACTTATTAGTATCTTTATTTTTTTTCGTACGTCGCGTTGTCGTCGTTGACAAGCTATAAGTCAAAGGAAATAATTTGTTATTATTAAATTAATTAATTATTGAGCAGTCTTTGTAAGTATTAACCTTTCAACCCAGTCTTTTCTCAAATCTGATAGAATATCGTAACTATTTTTAAAGTATTCTATTTGTGTGTCTAAAAACGCCGTTAATTCTTGTATGTATTGATCCTAAATATAAGATTATAGTATATAAATTAATTATGAATAACTTTTATTATTATTATTATTATTAAAATATATATATATCGTGTGTGAAAAAAAAAAAAAAAAAAAACTAACTTCAGAATCATTTATTGTTCTCATCTTTTTATGAAGTTCTTCTTTTGAATCCTCATATTTTTCTTTAGCATTACGCATTTCTTCTTCTAATTCTGGTTTTTCCTTTTTTGATTTTTGCATTTTACTTAATTTTGCGTCATAATTGAGTCTACGTGATTCTAATTTTTTTTTCATTTGCTATTGATATTTGTAAAATAGTTCAATAATTATTTAAAGTTAGTACGATAAATAAAAACCAATTATTATACGATAATAAAACAATTATTATATAAGAAAATAATAATTTAATCTTACTTGATATTGTTTTAAATCTTCAATAGAAGCATCTAAACTTTCAATAAAATCTTCACGAACTTTTGATGCATGCTCTAATTGGCAACTCGCGACCTTTTCGTTAGCGGTACCAAGTTTGATCAAAGCCGTTCCTTTAATGAATGTATACTTAGGATTATGCTTTTACTTTAAACATTAATAATAGAATAATTGGAGTGAATTTACGTTACCATATGAAGAATCAGAGCCTAGCTCTTCACCATAAACTCTCATGGCAATACCTAAAGACTCGATAGGTAATGCTTTTGTCTTCTCTTCTATGGATGGAGCTTTTTTTGCTATATAAATATATATAAATGTTTTTAAAACAATTCACGTTAAGACAAATATAATATTGCTAAATGTTACCACAAAACTCTGTAATAAATGAAATCTACAAAGAATACCTACACATGGCCTTTAAGTAGATGCTTGTCGCAAATATGAGTTTATCTACACCTTTGTGCCTGGCATCAGTTTGTTGTTGCAGTTCTTGAAATTCATCTGTGGTCTGCGTCTTGTGAGAAGCACCGACCTTTTCGTTAGCCCACTAATGCCGCGAAAAAGAACAAAATGTAGAGATTGTTAATAAACTTGGAGATCTAAAAATAATAAATGAAAATAATGGATACAATGTATGTCGAACCTGCTTTAATTTTCCGATGTTCTTTTTCATGTTCTCGATTTTTTTTTATTTTTTATTTTTTAAGATCGCAAGTAATAAAGTAAAAGAGTGTAAAGGGTGATCAGTTATTTTATGTTTGTAACCACAATAGAAAATAATAATTGCGATGAAACTATTTAAATGTTGCCAAGATGTGTAATCATGCTGTTATCTGTTTTTAGGTCTTGTATTTTCCCTTAATGATAGTGTTGTACGATACAAGATAAAATTTTACCAGTCATGCCTTATGACTTAATAAGTATAGCATACTTGTAGATTGTACCTTATTCAATTCGCAAGCAAAAAAAAAAAACGAATCAGAGTAAAACTTAAATTCATGATCTCGATTAGGAAGCTTGTAACCCTATGTTTTAAATAAATTATGAATCGATTTTATACAGTATATTTTTAGCACCAAGCCTAAAACTAAAATAGTTTGTACTGCAAATTCCTATAACATCCAACAAGGTGCAAAATCGAAAGATAAATTATATCGACCAACGAGATAATTGATAATTCGGAACAAGACGACAGAGATAGCTGATTTTGTCGTTATCGAAGGTGAAGTCAACAATTCGTGGAAGTATCACCTTATTACCGGTAACTACTAACATTTGTGCTGTCAATTAAAAGCGGCACTAAAGCAAGATTCCAATCATAAGAAATGTAGAGTTGCTAAACAATAACTATGTATATCATCCATGTTCAAACACCAGATATCTCGCCACACAAAAATGTCAAATAAAAATCGATTAAGGCATACTTAAAGTGTTTACGTATCAAATGATATCATATCATATTGGTCCTTTGGAACCGAGTCCTTGAAAGGTTCGGACATGAAAACATAATACGTTAATATAGGAGGACTTCGAATTATTTTAATTGACTTGATTGGATGGACTTTGAAGAATTCGATTCGCAAACATTTATATCGATTTACCAGTACTATATAACTTATATATATATATTCTAAGCTACTGTATATTATACTACACTACTGTATATGCAATTTGGGCTCTGCAACCCGGGCTCATACCTGTGTCTAACAAAATGTTTGGGTACAAAAATTTAGACACAGGCACAGGCATGGGCATAGGCAAAAACGACGAAATCCAGAAGGCTTGTACTCCTCTGCCATTGATCACCGGTAGCCACATATAAACATAATACGTTGCAAATCGGTTTTTGCATAACGATAATAAACAAAGTTGTTTATTATATATCAGTCACACATCTAAAATTTTATCATATGATTTTCACAAATTACACAAATCTACGAATTAAAATTTCGCATAAAACCTCAGTTCCGATACAGATTGCCACACCTCTGAATATGTGTAATAATTTTATTTACTTTTATTTGATTCTTCTCAAGTTAATATTTTTTGACTTAAAAAGTATTTCATTAAGATGTACTAGTTTGAGATCTTTTAACAAAATACATCTTCGAAGGGCTAGAGTATTATAAATATAGTAAAGGAATTCAAGAAAAGCTATTTTATAGTACAGTATATATAGTAGATTACTTGTTAATTGTTTAATCTTGTTTGTGAAAAGGTTTTTTTTGAAATAATACTATACTAATGCTAATATTTTATTATATATGTTCTTATTTTAAATTTGTTTTTTTTTTTTTTTTATTTTTAAGGTGGCTTATATTGCCGGACGATTTTTATTAATTTGATATATGAGGTCCTACATGGGGTTCCTCTACAGTTTTCAGTTACATGAAGAGTGTACAACAAACCACACATACAACTTTAGTCATTGTCTAATTTAAGTAGTCCGCTATGCAGGTGTTAGACCACCTGTTAGTACTACATTATGCTGTTATACCTGCAACCCACCTGTGAGTTACCTATTTAAACACTCTGTTCAACTAACCTATTCCTGTTACAAACTAACATCACTATAACACCTAACTGCATACGCTAGCTAGCTCGTTACAGATCCATTTTTCGACACCAGCTTAGGTCCTCTCAGGATGCATGTCACTTATCATATTGTGAGCATGCAGAGCTCCGGTTAACCTCGAAGCAAACCTACTAGAGTGGTCTGTGCCTATTTCACAGACTCTCCTAGCTTAGACCCTTGTAGATGTTTGTACAACCCTGGTTTCTTCTGTGGCTCTCCACCAGTTTTCTGTGTCTATTTTCTCGAATATTTCACAAAGCAGATCCTTCCAATCCAGTTAGCTGCCAAGCCAGGTTGGTGTTACTGATCCTTTTCGTAGAATAGATTTATGCGCACCTGACTCGATCTGCATCTTTGATGATAGTTTCTTTTTTGGATCAAGTGTTAGCCAGTGTAACTGTCGAAAGCCGTACTACTTCACCAACTCAGGATTTCTACTATGCAGATCCCCTGCTCATATATCATTATATGCGCATATCATCCTGTAATTAACTGCCGCTACACAATGTTTTTTCCTATCAAGATTTATTTGTGTGTGCATATCATCCTGTGATTAACTGTCGCCACACTACCAATGTCTGATTGACTTAGTGCAACTTAACTTACAGGGTTACAACCCCAGAAACAGACAGAGTTTACTATAAGTTGGGTACAAAGGTCTGAGTAATTATTCAAATTCGTCAACAGTGGGATTTGAACTCCAGACCTCTTACATGGCAGTCTGGCAACCTAACCACTACATTAAGATCGCCAGACCTTCTTATTTTAAATTTGTTTAGAGTTATATACTAGTAATTAAATAAGACTATAATAGCTTTATATTTAAGAGTAGAGGATATCTAGATCATTTTTTATATGAAATTGATAGTATATATTTTTTTTATATAGTAACTAAAATTTTGGTTTTAATAAAAGTTTTTTAATTTTAATAAAAATTTATAATTTTTTTTTATTATATATAGTTTAAAATAATATATTTCTTGTTATAAAATTTTAAAGTCTATTTGATTTAAAAAAATTATACTTGTATATATCTTAAAAAAATTTAGATTAAGAGTAGAGAATATATAGATCATTTTTTATTTTGTTTCTAATAAAACTTTTTTAATTTTAATTAAAATTTATAAATTTTTTTTATTAAGTTATATATAGTTTAAAATAATATATTTGTTGTTATAAAATTTTAAAGTTTATTTAGTTTAAAAAAATTATATTTGTATATATTTTAAAAAAACTTTGATTAATCTAAAAAAACTTAGATAGTACAAAATTACTCTATTCTGATTGGCTAATTCATGTAAATCTATAATGTAAATTTTATAGTAAAAAATAATATCCTTTAGATTGTAGACTAATACAAGCAAATTTGCTTGTATTTTTGTATTCATTCAGCTTTAATTTACTTTTTTAAAATGCAAAAATATTAAAAAAATAATTATAAATAATAAAATTTGAAAATAAGAATTATTTTTTTGCAGTATTTGTTTTTATATTATAAGAAAAATATTTAGAGTTATATATGAGCTAAAAATAGCTAATTTTATAAAAAAAATTTTTACAAAATTTTATCAGTATTTCAAGATGAACTTATTTAATTTAAGTTTTAAAAATATAATTTATTAAGCAATTTGATAAAACTTTTAAAGAATTATAACTTTAACTAGCTTATAGACCCAGGCATTGCTTCAGGTACTAGTTTTTATTTTTTTAGTTCTTAAATTTTTTAAAATCAAAGTTTAAATAAAATATTAGCTTTTTTTTAGTTAAAGTTTAAATACTGTATATTATTAAATAATAAATTTAATTAAGTTTAAATTAAAAAAATATTAGATATTAAATATTTGTAATAATTTTTTTAGTTCTAAAATTATAAAAATTAAGTATATACTTTTACTATGGCTATCATCTCCACTTCAGTATTTTTACTAAAACCTATTATATTCTAACTCTAACCTTAACTCTAATTCTAACTCTAATTCTAACCCTAACTTAAACTCTAACTCCTAATTTTCTAATCCTAATTTTACAATTTCTAATTCTAACTTTAATTCTATATTTATCTTAAAACTTAACAAATATAAAGTTTAATATATTTATATAATATAATAATATATGTAGAGCAGAATTACTTAGTATATAAAGATAGAATTTATTAGTAAAATTTTGAAAATCTTAAAATTTTCAATAATTTTATTAATAAAATTATTGAAAATTTCAATATTTTCAAAATTTTATTAATGAATTCTATTTTTATACTCTAAGTAACCTAATTCTACACAAAAATCCATATTAGAAAAATATATTATTATTTTATATTTATTAATTTTAAAGAAAAAATGCAGAATTTTAGAATTTTTAATGAAAAAATCCAAAATTCTGTATCATTTTCTGATTATTTATAAAATTTAAAGTTTAATATACTATATACTAATATGATATAATTTATTCTTAGAACAAAATTACTTATAGTATAAAGATAGAATTCATTAGTAAAAAGCAAAGGAAGATGAATCAAACTCTTTCCGACGATCACTAAAAAACAACAAAATCTGAAGAAAGAAAAAACAAAATAGAATAATACACAACTACTTTATATTAAATAACTAAATATTAATATCAAATTTTAACCTCCTCTTGAATATACTAAAACACAATTAA